AAAAAGAGAGTTTTTTTTTTTTTTTTTTTTTTTCCAGAACCTCACTGCGGCTCTTTAAGCAAGCCCTGCACATATGTAAATTTTTATTTTGGCTTTTATTTGCATGTACAAGAAACCAGGGACGGGTTCTGACAGTGAAGGAATGGCTTCATAAATTATGACCCATCAACACATTGAGATATCGACATGGAAAAATGATTTTGATATAATATCCATTATAAAAGACATGGGGCAAAGTGATCTAGCTCTGGGGTTGCAACTCTGGAATCAAGTGGGCTCAGATGTGAATTCCAGCACCGTTATTTACCTAGTTTGTCCTTGGTAGAAGTTACTTCAACTCTGAATCTTTAGTTTCCATATTTGTAAATTAAGGACAGTATGAGCTAGTATTTACAAAGTACCTTGCATATAATACATGAGTGGGCAAAGTTTTTCTGAAAAGAGCCAGGTGTCAAATATTTTGGGTTTTGTGGACCATTGGGTCTCTGTTGCAACAGGGTGACTCTGCCATTTTAGTGTGAAAGCAGCCATAGCCAATTTGTAAATGAATGGGAGTGGCTGTGTTCCAATAAAACTTTATTTATGCACACTGAAATATGAATTTTATATAAGCTTCAAATGCCACAAAATATTGTTCTTTTGATTGTGTAAACACCATTCTCAGCTCACAGGTTGTAAATACCCAGGCCACTGGGCCCCTGCTATAGTAGACATTCAGTAATTGCTAGTTCCCTTCCCTGGTAAAAACGTGGGGTGTGGGCGAGGCTGGGGATAATTATTCCTGAGGAGGGTAGAGGACTTGTAGCTTTGGGATTTTTTCTTTCTTTTTTTCAACATCATTTTCAAGGTCATGTTCTCTTTTAAATGATAAAATTGTTTCTTTTTATCTTTTAAACTAAATTGAGAAATTGAGGACTGGTACTGGTTTCCTAACATGAATTTCTACAATCTTATAATTTTTTTAAAACTTGTCAAATTTACACTTTTAGCAGGGTGGCATTTGATGCATTGAATAAGATCTGGAATATCCTGAAAATCTTAGTCATAGTTGGGCTGACTGGCAAAATGTTTAACCTTTACACATTTTTCATTAGGGGAGTCAAAAGTTTTATTTTTGGCAAATCTTCCTTTGCTTAAACACTATATTAATTTTTCTATCTGTATGTGTATGGGTACTTCAAAAACTCGTGGAGAAATAGAATTAAAAGGTAACATGAATCTTTCCATGAATGTTTTGAAGACCGCTTATAGTCTGTAAAGTCAGTTAACTTGTAAATTACTTGTCCTGCAAGATTCAGCCTAACCTATGAAACACAGTACAAAAACTCAATTTGTAAACAAGGTCTGAAGAAGGAAATCAGAAAGTCTGAATTTAGAAATTACCCCTGGGGTTTAGATCCCAGTACTAAGAAGTGCTTGGTACCACTGAGGAGAGGTGAAAAGGGGAGGATTCTTTGGGCTGGTGTCTTGATCTGTATGTGCTATTATAGCAAAGTACCAGAGACTGGCTCACTTAAAAGGAAAGAGTATTCTTTTCTCACACTTCTGGAGGCTAGAAGTACAAAACCAAGGCACCAGCATTTGGTGTCATTTGGTGTCTGGTGAGGGCTGCATCCTCTCAGGGGGAGGAAGGCTGTGTCCTCACGTGATGGAAGGTGGAAGGACAGAGAGCCAGAGGCTGTGTGCAGCCCCTTTTATAAGGACCCTCATCCCATTAAACCAGGGAGGAGCCCTCAGAGCCTCATCACCTCCTAAAGGCCCCACCTCTTAATTCCATCACATTGGCAGCACCTGAATTTTGGAGGGGACACATGAAAACCATAGTAGCCAGTTATAACATTATAAGAAGAGCCTGAAATTGATGAGCGAGATTCTATTACAAAGAAGTTGCAGTAACAGATTTGTCTTCTTTGTTATGCTGGAACTTTTTAGACTGAGTAATTCTCACAATCAATGAGGTTCGTGAGTAAGCCTTGGAAATTCGATGTTATGGAGATTCTGTTATTAAGTATTTATTTGCAGAGCTGTCTGTCATACGTAAGGTATAGAGCTGTGTGCTGCAGATGATGTGAAAATCTCCAAAACCAATTGTTTGTCCTTGAGGGGCATATAGTCTAGTGTGACATCTGTATATATAATATCTTCTAACATTGATCTTTCAGCAGGCGTCACAAGGCCATCCCAAATGGTAGAGGCCAAATAACCGATGCTGTGTGTGTCGCTTTAGAAAGGAGAGATTATTTCTGGAGGTCTCAGAGTGCCTTAAAATTGGGAGATTTGAACCAGACCTGGAGGATCAAACTCATTCTTCAGCAGAGATGGGGGTAGAATGGGAGCAGGAGGGCGTGAGGATGTAATGGCAAGGCTTCTGATGCTTTCTAGAAGAGGGAGCAGGGCCAGTACAGACTGTAGGGAGGGTGCCTGTAGCAGAGGTGTCGGAGAGGAACAGTTCTCAGAAGGCCACAGCCACACTGGCCAGAAAGCTTTGGATATGAAAGCTGAGAAAATTTGGTTTTATCCCAAAGGCCATGTGGAACATAGTAAAGGAAAGTTAAACGATGAAAACATGAGTTATGATACATAGTAGAGGAGATTGAAAAGAAAAAGTAAAAAAAAAAAAAAAAAAAGAAAAATATTTACCTATAATCTCATTTTCTAGAAACATCGACTGGTAACATTTTGAGGTTTTTCCTCTCATTCTTTCTTTGTGTTTTAAAAAATATATGTATGTATAAACATTTTTATTATAAAGTAACATTTTTTAAAGGATGGTATATTACAGCAAATACAAATAATGTGTTAACATTTTGATGTAATTTTTTCCTGTATTTGATTTTACATGAAAACACTATATATGAGAGTGTATGTTTAGCAGGGATCATTTATTTGTTACTGTCTTGAATGAAATCTTTTTTGAGCTTATATTTTCTTCTTTGTGGACGGTGTATAGAAATACTTTTGTTTACAGTAAATTGCTGAACTCTTCCTAGGTCTAATCACAAGTCTGATAGTGTCTTGGATTTTTTTCCTGTGGACAATTTTCTTGTCCATAATTTATAATGTGGAAACTAAAGCTGTAGAGCAGTTAGGTAACTTTAAAAAGGACACAGGGTCAATAAATGACAATGCATCCGTTCCTCTAAATATTAAATTATCAATCGCCTTAAAGTGCTTTTTCTTTGGCCTGGTTTTTGTTTAATTTGTAACAACGCTAGCTTCCAACACTCAGTACATAGGTGCTTATGAATTCTTCTGTAATAGCTGGACTTCCTTCTGTCCCTGGCTGGGCAAGGGTCTCTCGGCCTTGGCGATCTCATGTGTACCTCTCTGTCCTTCTAGAATGCTGTTCTCTCTGCCTTTGCCAGCCTTGCCTTAAAAGCAGTTTCCGCAGGGAGGCCTCATAATAACCATCCTGTTTAAGCTTTATGCCCTTTCTGCTATTGTCTCTCTCTTTCAGTACCTTTTATTTTACTTCTACACACTTACCACGATTCGAATTATATAAATTGTGACATTACATGTATATATGTTTAGCTATTTCCTTCTTAGATATTTGTTCCCTATACCCAGTGTCAAGCACATTGTCTTGCAATAGTATATGTAAATAGTAAATATTTGGTGAATAAAATAGACTGAATATTTCTCATGTGTAACTTTATTATGTTTTGTTGATTCCCTCCGTGATTTATCTTTCTCACGTACGGGAAGAATCTAACAGTATGCATCTTTTCCTGTTATCAAACACAAAATTCACGTCTTTATTTTTTAGAGTCGTGCTCCAATTTCTGCCAAACTTGTGGCCAATATGCTGTCGGTGGCTGGGGCGGATCACATCATCACCATGGACCTGCACGCCTCGCAGATACAGGTACCAGCGTTTTCCTTCTGTGAGTGGCTAAGTCCACAATCTGTTAAATAACTTTAGAAGGAGGTAACATTACTCGTGTCTGAGTTTGTATGTGGCTCCTCTCTTGGATTCTTCTCTTTCCAGAACTTGGAAGTATAATTTGATGTTAATACCAACCTGTCTCTACCACCAGCTTGCCTCCAATCAGTTTAGAGGAGCAGGGATGGCTTCTCCATAGTAAACACTGTGTAATTCCATCTCAGCTTCTGGAAAGTAATTAGCACGGCAGAGTCATTAATGTACATTTTTTAACCCCTTCATAGCTTAGTTCCTTCATCTTCAAAACAGGCCAACTTATACTGTGCTCTCTCTGTGATACGTAATGAATGTGAAGTGTTTGGTTTGTCATAGGTGCTAAGAAACAACAAATCTTCCCCCACTGCCCTACCAAACCTATCGATTTCTCAAGATGCAGGCCATCATCAGGTAATAGAATACGTCCCACAAGGGGCCGGCCCGGTGGCGCACTGCTACAGTGCGCCGCTTGGGAAGCGCGGTGGCGCTCCCGCCGAGGGTTTGGATCCCACATACAGACCGGTTCCTGCTCACTGGCTGAGCGAGGTGTGGGTGCAGCGCCGAGGGTTGCGATCCCGTTGCCGGTCCCGGTCCGGTACGGGCGCGACACTGAGGGTTGCGATCCGTTGCCGTACATGAAAAAAGACAAAAAGAAAAAAAAAAGAATACGTCCCACAAGATGGATTGGACTGAAATATGCCCCTGCAATCTGTCTTTTGATTTAATTCTGTTAAAATTAACAAAAGGGAGCCTGTTATAAGGCTTCTTTTGAATTAAAAATTCAAATGTTTTTTTAATGAAAGTGATTATCTTTTCTTTTCTTTTCTTTTTTTTTTGTGACCTTTAAGGGGATCGTAACCCTTGGCTTGGTGTGGCCTGCACCATGCTCAGCCAGTGAGCGCACTGGCCATCCCTATATAGGATCCGAACCCATGGCCTCTGCGCACCCAGCACCGTACTCTCCCTAGTGAGCCACAGGGTCGGCCCAAAAGTGATTATCTTTTTACAAAATAAATAAACACAACCCTGCAAGATGACACTCACTTCTCCCCTTAGGGCTTCTTCGATATTCCTGTGGATAACTTGTACGCGGAGCCAGCGGTCTTGCAGTGGATTCGGGAAAACATCACTGAGTGGAAGAACTGTATCATCGTTTCCCCAGACGCAGGGGGAGCCAAAAGGTATCACGCAGGCTACACCACACAGATTTCTCTACTTGCTCATTGATTTTTCCTTTTTCTATGTAATAGGTAAGGAAGCATGCTCTAAATAACTTAGCGCTTTATTTTGCAAACGAGCAAGTACGTAGATTACAGGCTACTTCACCTCCAGAACAGAAACCTGTCATCTCTGCTAACATTTCATCATTCATGAAAGAAAAAAATTCACACACACAGACACGCACACACTGTGTAATTGTTTGTTTTCAGCAAAGAATAGATATGTTTTGAGTTTTTAAGTTATTTTCTGATTATAAAAGAAATGAGCCTAATTGGAAAATAAGGCTTTTAATTAACAACATGATTGACTGAGCTAGTCCTTCCTACTACGAACACTTGGAAATTGTAGCCAAAATAGAACAAAATTACAAAAAGAAAAGAAATCTGTGTACATAGAACACCAAGAAAGGGAAATATCTGAGGCCAAGTAATAAAGAAGGTGCTGAAAGCCACGGACAGGTGGCCTGGGGGGATGGGCATCCAATCCAGGAAGAGGCTGGTGGCTTGGCTTTTAACGCCCACATAGGGGCCTCTGGAAAGAAGGGAGCTGAACGCCAGACCTCTAGCCGGCAGCCCAGGAGGAGGGCCAGTCTTTACCTGGACCTTTAGATGGGGGGAGCCTGTTCCACATGCCCATGTGCGGTGGCTGGAAAATACACCTTCCCTGTGTGGGCGAGAATCCCTACGCTAAGAAAATTAACATCAAAATTGGTCCCAGAGTGCAAAGCCACAGCAGAGGGAGAATTCTACGAACCCAGCTGCTCAGTCCGCTCTCCCTACTGAACATGACCTGATGCTGAGATCCAAAGTTAGAAAACCAAGAGGGCACAGTCCTCCCGGACCCAGCACGTGCAGACAACAGGACAGCAGGCAGCCAATACCATGGGGCAGTAGAACACACTGAGTGGCGTGAGAAGGCAGTGCTGAGTGGCAAATCTAATGCGCTGTGGGAAGAGACCCGAAGAATCGATGTCTTGATTACTGGACGAGCAATTGGGACACAGGGTGTTCTGCAACAAGGATGAGAACAGTGAGGATGCTGAGCTGATCCACAGTGTTTACTGCAATCCCAGCCTTAGTAACTTAGTGAACTTGCAGAACTTTGCAGCTGCTGTCCAGCAAGATAAAAAAAAAAAAAAAAAGGGGAA